GCTCTTGCTCTTGTTCTTGTTGTTGTTGTTGTTGTTGTTGTTGTTGTTGTTGTTGTGGTTGTCGTTGTTGTCGTTGTCGTTGTTGTTGTTGTTGTTGTTGTTGTTGTTGTTGTTGTTGTTGTTGTTGTTGGTGCTGGTGGTGGTGGCAACGGTGGTGCTGCTGCAACTGCTGCTTTCTCCTGCTCTGCCTGGGAAAAACGGCTCCTACATGTGCCACATGCAGCTGTCATCTTGGCTGTTGCGCTTCGTTGCCGTTGCTGTGCATACCTTGGTTTTAGGGTTTAGGGGTTTAAGGGTTTAGGGTTTAGGGTTTTGCCCTCAATTCTTGAACCCTGAACCACTACACCTGACGTGAAATCCACAACTCAAACATCCTCAACCATATAAATTACTGAACCCTAACCCCGTAAAGACCCCAACCCCATTCAAGTCCCATAAACACCCCCCTTAAACCCCAATTAAGCCCATAAATTCTGAACCCGCAGCCCGAGATAAGCAGTGTGACCCGCACCTCTCCTTTTGCCGCTCTTCTGCTCTCTTCCGCAGCTGCTTATCCCGCAACCTTGCAGTTTGGAGTTTGGGGGTTAAGGATTCAGGGGTTCGTGTTTGGGGGTTAGGGTTTAGGGATCTAGGGGTTAGGGTTTGGGGGTTAGGGTTAAGGGATTTGGGGATTTAGGGATTTAGGGATTAGGGTTTGGGGGGCTTGGGATTTAGGGATTTAGGGTTTAGGGGGTGATCCCTTCGCCTTGCAGGTTCGGTGGACAGTGCTCTGAAGTAGGGGGGCCCCTTGCAGCAGATTCTTCCTGAACAGGGTTTGCCAGGTCAGGGCTACCCAGAAAAATGCCTGCAAGCCCTAACTAGACTTGCAGACCATGAGACAGATAGATAGACAGACAGACAGAGAGAGAGAGAGATAGCATAGATAGATAGATAGCTAGATAGATCGATAGATAGGTTCGATAGATAGATAGGTAGATAAATCGTCGAAACATGAGCGTCCCTAGCATAGACCCCAAACAGTAGGATCCTCGCTTAAACGACCCCTTCCGACATCTCCGACGCTGCGCCCAAAGACCCTCTAGTCTAAAACCCTAAAGCGGTAGCTCTAACAACCACCTGACCTAACACCCTAAAGCCGAAAACCGAGAGCCGTAGCTCTAACCATAGGCCCCATAGTAGTTCCTTTTTGGGGTTCATATAAAGAATCCTATAAGGTATACCCAAAAAGGAATTACCATGGGGCCTATGGGTATCTAAACCCTAAGCCCTAAACCCCTTTAAACCCCTAAACCCCTAGAGCCTAAATTCTATCTGGGCACCTCCGCCACTCCTTCCACTCTTCACCGTTGCGATCGTCGGGCTCCTCACCGGGGTCCTCGCCACGGTTCAGAATTTGGGGCCTTACGAACACCTGGGGCTTTAAGGGCTGATATGGCAAGGACTATAAGGTTTAGGATTTTGGGATTTAGGGTTTAGGATTTTAGGCTTTAGGGTTTTAGGGCTTCGGAATACAGGGTTTAGGATTTTAGGTTTGGGGGTTTAGGGTGTTACTAGGGTTGTTGACAGCTGCAAAGCTGAAACCCCTGTAGCCCGAAAGCCAAAAGTCGGTGACCTCGAATGCCGGTACATGTAAACGCACCCTGAAACGACTAATGCAGGGGCCTTGATAATAAGAATGGGGTTTTGGGGTACCTTACGGTAAAATTATAGTAAGGAACCATAAGGAGTGATGTTGGTAATTCTTTAGGCTTCTGTATTAAAGCTCAAGACCATTCCAGCCCGAAGCTGGTTCCTTTAAGGGTTCCATTCAGGGTCTCTATATGGTTCCTTTGCAAGTGTTCCTTTGAAGGGTTAATTATTCTATAGGGCCGATTATAGGGTTTTTATTAACATGTACAATAACGCTTGAGGATGTCTTATAACACATTGTATTAAGGAGCCATGAGGAATAGTGTTAAGCACCTATAGTACGAATATAGGGGAATATGGCTTGGGGAATGAATTATGGAATAGCTAGAAACACATAGGAATAGTATCGGTAATGAGTCATGCTTCCATTGAAAGCCCTGAACCCCAAACTTTAAGCCCAATTTCTTCAGGCCAACCCAGGTTCTCGATGCGAAATAATCTGGATGAGGGTAGCTCTCTAAATTACGGTCCCGGGTTTAGGGTTTAGGGTTTATCTTCGGGAACTCAACAGGACTCCAAAAGGGACCCTAGTTGAGAGAACTGCCCGAGAACCTCCCCAAGCCCAAAAACAGGGCTTGGGGTTGTGGCGACTTTGGCTTGGGCTTCGGCTGATAGGCTTTCTTAGGCCCGATGAGGGCCTTACTAGCCTTAATAATTCAAACAGGGGTTTAGGGTTTAGGGGTTTAGGGGTTTAGGGCTTCAGGGTTTTAGGGTTTTAGGGTTTAGGGTTTTAGGGTTCAGGATTTGGGTGGTAATTATATTCGATTAAGGCAGTTCAAAACGACAGTAAGGAGCCCTGAAGAATAATGTGGGTAATTAATGTAGGGGCTAAGTAATTTCCTACACTGTTTTGGAGGCTCCTGCTTATAACTATAGTATGTTGGACCCCTAAACCCTTTCTTAATTAACGAGGCCCCTATCTTAAGTATTCCGACCCTGATCTTAAGAGACTTGGACTCACATCGCCTCATCTTCGTCCAAGAACTCTTCTTCGAGCATCGATTCCTCGCCTTCAGTGAGATCGCATGCCAAGTTGTCTCGAAGGCTTAGGGTTCAGAGTTGGTTGGGTTTAGGTTTAGTGAAACCCTAAACCTTAAACCACAAGCCCTATTTTAGTAGAACCCTAAACCCTAAACCCTAGTTTAGTAAACCCTAAACCCTAAACTTAGGGTGGAGGGTTCGGGGCTTAGGGTTGCCAAGGTGTGGTGAAATGGGGGTTGATTTAAACATGGATGGTTTAGGGTTTAGGGTTTAGGATTTAGGGTTTAGGGTTTAGGGTTTAGGGTTTAGGGGGCCAACAAAAAGTAGGAACCCGAATCTCAAAGCCTTCCGAAGGATCCCGAAGCCTACATTTACCACACGAAACCCCAAGTTATAGAGCCCATATCCATAGGCCTTATAAAGTAGTTCCTTTTTGGGATTACCTTCTAGGATTCTAAATTATGAACCCCAAACAGGAACTACTATGGGGCCTAGGGGTAAGGCTCAGGTGGTCGATGCACTAGGGTTTAAGAGTTGGGTTGAGGGTTTCGGGTTTAGGGTTTAGGGTTTAAGAGTTGCGGATGAATGGTTTGGGTTGGGGGCCTGCTTCGCTGTGCCCTGCATGCTGTCAATCCAACATCACAGCTGAGGAGGTGATGGTGCTAGTAATGTAGGGGCCTTAGAAAATTAGAAGCTCTAACAAGGGACCTTAAGGAATGATATTGGTAGTTATTTAGGCGTCTATAGTAGGGCTGCTGCCGTAAGGTTTGCTGGCAATGTCTCGAATTGCTAATGTATTTGAAACCGACTCATCATGCTGGAAACGGAGCGCCAGGGGCTGCACTATCCCTAACGCAGTGCCAAAAGCGCAAGTGCTGCAGTACGCTCAGGCAGGTGGTTCATTTGCGAGTTCGTGTTCCCGCAAGCCCTCTTGGCTCCGCCTTAGGACTGCTTTAACGTAGGGGCCCTAATAATCAGAACAGGATTTTCGTGTATATTATTATACTATAATTATCATGAGGCTCCTATATTAGCTTCACTTCGTGACGATGGCCCTGAGTCGCTACCCAAGGCCCTAGACTCTAGACCCCCCAAACCCGAAACCCTGAAACCCCTAAACCTTAAACCCGAAACCCTAAACCCCAAACCCTAAACCCTGAAACCCTAAACTCCTAAACCCTAAACCCCTAAATCCCAAACCCTAAACCCTAAACCCCCAGATCTCCCAAGTGCCACCAAAGGTCGTTTCTGCCGGATGAGGTTTGTGAGTCCCGCCTGTTGCAGTTTCGGACTCACCTTGGCGCACGCTGCGAGCCTTAACGGTTTAGGGTGTAGGGTTTAGGGTTTAGGGTTTAGGGTTTAGGGTGCCAAAGGGTACCTCCATATTACAATGTAGGGTTTGAGGTCTAAGGTCCTCTATAGTAGAATGTAGGGTTTCAGTTATAGTAGGAATTATTATTATGATGTGGGAATGTAACCCATAACAGTACCTGGGACCCCGTGGTGGTTAGAATCGTGTGTTGAAGCGTACCAATACCTTCCTGAGGGCCGTAGAAGGGAATACCGGGCTGGTGCTTTTTGTGCCACAATAACGGGACCATAAGGGACTAATACAGGGGCCTTAATATTACGCTTGGGCTTTGTGTAAGATCGGGGTTTAGAGACTTGGATGTGCCAGAACATTCCCTTTCTGAACCATGTAGCGAGCTTCAAGCCTTTATCGGGGATTAGAGTTTAAACTTTCGGGTTCAGGATGTTTCAGGGTTTGGCGTTGAGGATATGACGTTCTTCACTTCACGCCCCTAAGCACTCAATTCCCAAACGACTTGTGTTTTCAGAGTGTCGAAGGCGTGGGCTTAAGATCTCTAGCGCTCGCTGTAGGTTGAGGCCTCAATCCTGCAAACTCCCTTCACACATAGGGTTTAGGGTTTAGGGTTTAGGGTTTAGGGTTTAGTCCCCGAAAATTACCCATCCTCTTTTCAACACCCTGCACCACAGAATTTGATTGGCAACAACACCGAAGTGAGGTATCCCGACGTGCTGCCTTCTCCAGTCGCCCGATGCGAACCACCTTGATGCCGTTGTCAAGAAGACCTTCCCCAAAAGGGTCCTAGGTACTGTTATGGGGGGATACTGTCCCAAATCATATTAACAAAATTCCTAATATAGAAACCCTACCCTAAACCCTAAACCCTGAACCCGAAACCTTAAACCCTAAACCCTAAGCCCTAAACCCTAAACCCTAAACCACCTACTATATAGGTACTCTGGACCCTTTGGGCTTCTCAAGCCAGCATCCAGAGGCAACGCGAGCCAATCAAAGCTCCCAGCTTCTGCGCTGCAAGTGTGGATCCTTCACTTCAGTGCAATGTCTCGGGCCCCTACACCCTAGATCCTAAACCCCGTAAGGTGTATGTGCGCATATATCTATATGTATGTATGTATATATATATATATATATATGTATAGATATGTGTATGTGTGTATACATATATTATAGGTATATACATACATATACATATGTGTATATACATATATATATATACATAACCACAGCATATACGGCAAGGTACCGTTAGGTCACGAGGTCTTTTGGCTTCTATGGAGCAAGTCCGGGCTCCGGGAAGCCATGCTCCGGCGTAAGAAAGAGCTGCTTATAGCTGCTTCCAATACGGCTAATTTTTGTTGAGAGGGGGGTTTTAAGGTTAGGGGTTTAGGGGTTTAGGGGTTTAGGGGTTTAGGGTTTAGGGTTTAGGGTTTAGGGTAGGGGTGTAGTCTGCAGCCATGCCGGCCAATATTCCATCATTCTGGCCCTTTGTTAAAAAGCGGCCAGCCTTCGGCGATGTTGTCCACCGCCACGTTGCACTCAGAAGTAGCGAGAAGGGGCCGGTAGCCTAAGTTGACACGATAGCAGCCAGAGGTCACGGGCTTGTAGCTGATATCTGAAGGCTCATGGTGGTCCACGGCGTCGGGCTTACAGAATACAAGGGCCTTAATACTTATAACAGGGTGCTAGGGTATGCTACAGTACAATTCGGTACATTTAAGGATGGAGCCGAAAGAAAAGAGTGTTTGGGTAGTTCTCTAAATCAGGAACGCCTTTTCACGAGGGTGTCGTACTATATTGGGGACATAAAGCGGGACCCTAGTTTAGAGAAGTACACACCCACATGACTGTACCCCCAAGCTGGAGATCTCTCCACACAGCCCGAAGGGGACACCCAAACCCTGAACCCCAAGACGCATTTAGGGGTTCCGGGGTTTAGGGGTTAGGGTTTTTGTTATGGAAGCCTTTCGCGCTGCAGCTTTGTCTGCGCGCGCTTTGGCGCCAACTCAGAAGTATATATCTCCAATGTGGGTTCTTAGGGGCGGTGTGGTTAAGAAGACCAGGGAAGTGGGTTCTGGTAACGTGGTTCATCCAGTACGGGAAGGGCATGGCACGTCTATGACCCTAATGTACAATCCTATCCTTGAAGGCAGCAGCGAATACAACGTTATGGAGGGGGGGTTACGGGTTTAGGGGCCATAGTAGTTCCTTTTTGTGGCTTATATTCAGGATCCTATTAGGTCCCAACAAGGAACTACTATGGGGCCTATGGGTAGGGATTAGGGGTTTAGGGTTTTAGGGTTCTCCATGCCCGTGGTCCCCAATGCCAAAGCCCGAAACTCAGAGCGCCACACCCAGAGCCCAGCCAAGATCTGGCTTAGGCTAGGTGCCTTCATTCTTAGGGTTTTTGTTTTTTTAGGAACCTGTTTGCTAATCCGCCGAACGTCTCAGCAATCCCCATAGGGGAGGGTTTAGGGTTTAGGGTTCAGGTTTTAGGGTTCAAGCTTTAGGGTTTAAGGCTTTAGAAGAGGATTTGGGGCCAGATTGTGGTACGTACAAAAACATTCGGCACAAACAAAGGGTTTAGGGTTTAGGGTTTAGGGTTTAGGACGGAGTACTATCTCCAACAGCAACCCACCTTCTCTAAGCGAGAGCGCCGAGTCAACTCTAAATCGAAACCTTAGACCCCCCAAATGGCTAAACCCAATGCCGCCGAAAGGGCCCATGGTTTTGACCCAGGTCGTCAGGATGCGAACCGAACTCGGTCAACAGGGTTTGCGGCTCAGGATTTAGAGGCTTAAGGCTAGGGTTTCGGGCTTAGGGTGTATATAGGGTTTAGGGTTTAGGGTTTCGGAACCCATTCAGACTTTACGCCCCTAGTGTAGGGGCCTTAATCAATTACCTATACTACGGTTGATGATATAAATCCTGCATTTCCCAGAAGAAGGAATAGACAATAATTCCCAAAGTATAAGGTCCTTAAGTCTTTAAGGTATTGCAGGATGTTTATCATCAACAGTATATTGTCGGGCTCCTTTTATAACTATAGTATAATACACCCCCCAACCCTGTTCTAATTATGCAGACCCCTATATTAGACACTTGCAGACCTATAGGGCAAGGTTTGGATTGAGGGCATCCTTCGAGGAGTTCATTCCATGCGCCAGAGAAACTTGTTCAGGAAGAGGCTAGGATTCGGAGGTTAACGGTTTATTGTATGATGCAGGGGCCGAGCTATCCACAGGTAGAACGGAAGGCTCTCTCTTTGAGCGTTGTGGTGCGCATGATTTGACCAATCAGAATGGAATCGGTATGAACATCAGCATGTCGTTGCCGATTGTCAGCACGGCAGTTCCTGCTGCTCTTCCACTACGACTGCTGCACAGTCATAACGACCATGAATACGATTATGATATAGAATTCGCAATCCCTGCTGCCACCACTGCTGCTGCTACCACCACAGCTCTCCCTGCAAACCATATTGGTGATATTTGCTTTCCAACAGGACCCAAGGCAGCTGCATGGGAGATTCCTTAACAAGGGTATTTCCTGACGGTGGAAACCCTACCTTGTGCTCTGCACGTCCGCTGGATTCTTGGCAATTTCAACTTCCTCATAGAACCCCTAATCCCTAAAATTGAGCCCTAAACCCTAAACCGTTCAACCCTGACGTTGGTAGCATTCCGCCGTGCTGCGTGTGCGTCTTGCCGGTGCCTGGGGGTCCCTGTACGATGGTCAGGCGCTTCGACATGGAGTTGATGATCGCCTTGTCCGGATGTCGGGCTTAAGGGACAGCTTGGGGTGTTAGGGCTCGAGTTTTCGGAACTAAAGCATTTCTGGTGTACGGAGGGTTTTAGGTCTTGGGTTTTCGGATTTAGAGCAATTTCTGGGGTACGTAGGGTTTTAGGCTTCAGAGTTTCAGGTTTGAAGGGCTCGGGGTGCAGGGGTTTCGAGTTCTGGGTGTTGCTTGGCAACCTCGCACCATGCAAGAGCCACGGTGGTTGGACTGGAGTTCCTTTATTCGGGTTTGGGGATTAGCCTTCTGGCTGGCAGACCTGGAAGAAGCCCTGAAATCGAGATTCTAAGCCCGAACTGCGCAGGCCGTCTGCAGAATCTGCTCGCATGAGCTCCTTCTTGGGTAGAAAGCGTAACCCTCAACGATAAACCCCTATGCCGCGATGCGAAACTGGCTTAACCCGCTTACACCACGCATGAAACCTTTGTAGAACCCTTACACTTCCTGTAACGACCCCTTAAAGATCCCTCAAATGCCAAACCTTCCTTGAAGGCCCCCATACAAAACCATAAACTCTATTAAAACATTCCCTTGAATCCCTGTAGAGCCTTACGGAAACCTTGATAAAACATTCCCTTCAAGCCCTGCAAAGCCTTACGGAAACCTTACGGAAACCTTGATGGTCCCACAGTTTACCACAACACGGCTTTCAGCATCCCTTCTTAACTTGAAAGCCTCTTTCTGTGCTGCAGAGGTGTTCGGCAAGGACATGGCCTGCAGCTGCGAATTTTATAAAAACCTTAACCCATAAACCCAAACCCCTAAACACCCTACACCCTACACCCTAAACCCGAAACCCTAAACCCTAAGCCGTGGCTCTGGGGTTCAGAGGATCAGGGCTTATATAGGTTGGTTGGTTGGTTGGTTGGTTCAAAGACACAAATGTGTCATCCCTGGGCAGGGAGAGAAGGGACAGGAGTGGGAGCCCTTGCACCGACAGGTGCCCTGACCCGGTTTTCGTTTTGGTTGGCTTAGGGGTTCGGGTTGAGGCCAAAAGAACTTCCATTCGGGGGGGATGGCCTCGAAGGGTTGAGGGGTTTGGAGGTTAGGGGTTTAGGGTTTATGGGTTTAGGTGTTAGGGCTTATAAGGTTTATAGGGTTTAGGGTTTATGGGTTTAGGGCTTTGGGGGTTTAGGGTTTAGGGTTTAGGGCTTCAACGGTTTCAAGGTTTGAAGACATGGGTCAGGGTGTCCCAGTGTGGGAGATACAGGTGTCAGAGGACTTGCGGGCGCTGGCCTAAATCCCCGTAGTGTCCTAGGTACTCTAAAGGGGATACACTCCCAAATCACCATAGCAACTCCTATTGACTATGATTCAAACCCTGGCCCTTTGGGATCGCGGCTCCAATTGCCTAGCACTCTTAGGTTTAGGGTTTGCGCGTGAGGCGCCTCTAAAACCCCGGAAGCCTTGGCAGATAAACCACTTGGACGGAACCCTAAACCCTAAACCCTAGTGGGGTTCTTATCTATCCGAAACCCGAAACCTTACCCCAAACCCTAATGGGGCTCTTATCTGTCCTAAACCCTAAACCCTAAACCCTAAACCCTAATGGGGTTCTTATCTATCCGTTTTGGCGCCGGTGCAGATGTTTGAGAGGTCGGCGACGGCTTGACGGGCTGGTCTTCTGACTCAAGCCGAGCTAGGCCCCTTTTTTTCTAGAACCATACTGTGAATCCCTTCTAGAAGCCTTACAGGGACTGCAGATCTTGGTGTGCTGCTGCACCGGTTCGGAGTTACGCGAACCCCAAAAGGGTCCTGAACATCGCAATGTGGGGAGGGGGGGTGTCTTTTCCTAAACCATACTAGTAGTTCCGACTATAGAAGCTCCACTTTCTACTAGTTTCAGGTACGTAGGGCCCTTTCACATCTGCGCGTCTGAGAATCGCAGCCGCGCATACGCGAAGAGGCAAACCTTGGGGACCAAATGACCCTTATAAGTAGGGGTCCTATACCCTTATGCTATGAATCCCTATATGGTATATGAACCTGAAAACCTTTTGGGGTTCATTTCGTCCTCAAGGAACGAACAAAGCAAGGATCGCCTTTTGGCTCGGGGCCTTGGAGAAGCGGGGACCACCAACTGTCGAAGTATGAGGAGAAGGGTGCACCCGAACCTACCTTTTGTCTCCATTGTAGCTCCTTTTGGGGGATACCTTCCAACATCCTTAATATGTAATTGGTTAAACCAAAAAAAGGAACTACAATGGAGACTATAGGTAATTCCTAAACCTATAAATTTAAGCCCCGAACCCCTCGACCCTAAACCTTAAACGCGAAGCCCCTAAACCTTAAACCCCCAAATCCCAATCAAACCCTGATCTCCAAAGCACATGTCTGAAGCTTCAGCTGTGGCTTGGAACTTCCCCTACACACTTCCCCTCTTAATGCGGCACCCTACAGTTTGGAAACCGAAACGCGACCTTAATTTAGAGAACTGCACCCTAAACCCGAAACCCCAACTTGAGGAATTCTTATAGAAACTCTTAGACAAAGAACTACCCCTATATATATATATGCATATGTATATATATATATATACATATGTATATATATATATATACATATATATTTATACATGTGTATATATATATATATATACATACAAAGACCCCTAAGCCCTAAACCCTAAGCCCCCTCCTGGCTCTTCGCCAGCTCCAGCGCATCTGGATCGACTCCAGGGGCTTCCTTTTGGCTTTTAACTCCACTAATGACTCAGTATAGTATATTCGTACTACAATAGGGTTTAGGGTTTAGGGTGTAGGGTTTAGGGTTACCTTATATAGTATATTGGCTTCCTTTTGGCTTTTAACTCCACTATACTTGGTAATTACCCATAGGCCCTAAAGTAGTTCCTTTTGGGGGCCCATATATAGAATCCTTTCAGGGAGTCCCCAAAAGGAACAATGACTCCGGTTTAGGGTTTAGGGTTTGGGTAGGGTTTAGGGTTTAGGGTTTAGGGTTTAGGGTTTAGGGTTTGGGTAGGGTTTAGGGTTGGGTAGGGTTTAGGGTTTAGGGTTCTAGCCATAGGCGCCATAGTAGTTCCTGTTTGGGATTCCCTAATAGGATTCTATATATGGGCCCCAAAAGGAACTACTTTAGGGCCTATGGGTAATTACCAAGGGGCTTGCCTTAAGGACGAAATAAACCTCAGAGGGTTTTCAGGTCCATTTACCGTATAGGGATTCATAGTATAAGGGTAAAGGGCCCCTACTTATAAGGGTCATTTGGTCCCCAAGGATAGGGTTTAAGTTTGAGGGTATCATCGTTATATCAATACCAATGTTAGCCACAGCCGAGGGCGAAGTTCGACGAAGCGGGGTTCGGCGAAGACCATTAGGGTGCTCCCCTGGAGTGGTTCTTGTGCTCGTTTTGCCTTGAACAATGGGTGCAGCTGAAGGGGGATCTACAATGGAGACTAGAAGCGAATCCTACTCCTTCCTAGCCTTCGATGCTGCACAGCCTGAAGTTTAGCGATTTGACATGACCTCAGTACAGCTGTGACTAACTAAGGACAGCTGTGACTAAGGAAGGTCACCACCAGTGCAGGTGTTTACAACTAGCCCAGGCTTTAAATGCAACCCGACACATGCATGCCCCTACAAACACCTTAAGGACGAAATGAACCCCAGAAGGTTTTCAGGTTCATATACCATATAGGGATTCATAGTATAAGGGTATAGGACCCCTACTTATAAGGGTCATTTGGTCCCCAAGGCACTCTACTTAAGAATCACAAACGCCGTCAAAGTGGCTAACCTCTTTGACCTGGTTTCGCGGCCCAAGTTTCAGGGCTTGATTGCGGGGATCGGGCCGAATAACTGTTGGGGTGTATGGAGTCGCCTATGTACCAAAAGGGTCCTAGGTACTGTTATGGGCCATTCTTTCCCAAATCATATTAACAATTCCTCATATAGAAACCCTACATTCTACTATATAGGTACTCTGGACCCTTTGGGGTAGGATCTCCGACGCACTGCCCCTTCATGATTTTCCCGCGGTGCGCTCCCACCTACATTCGATATCAACGGGTCATGACCTACGAATGTTTTTCGATTTGGGCTAACTGCAAGTAAACCTTTGAGGACCAAGTGACCCTTATAAGTAGGGGTCCTATAAATACCCTTATACTATGAACCCCTATATGGTATATGAACCTGAAAACCTTTTGGGGTTCATTTCGTCCTTAAGCCCTAAACCCTAAACCCTAAACCCATGTCCTCGTGCGCCAGAGCGACTGTCCGCTCTCTGCGCTCCTGCAACGGCGAACGCGAACGAGGTCTACGCAAACTGGAGTGCAGCCCCTAGTACCTTGGGGACCAAATGACCCTTATAAGTAGGGGTCCTATACCCTTTATGCGATGAATCCCTATATGGTATATGAACCTGAAAACCTTTTGGGGTTCATTCCGTCCTGAAGGTATAGCACAGATTCTTAACACCCGCGCTCCGGAGGTTGAGACGGGGTATCCTACTGTATGCAAAATGACATCACATTGGGCGTACTGCTGTGAAAAAACATGGTCAGCTCTACCCCAAACCCAAAGCCCTGAGCCAAACCTGAAGAACTACCTAGACCCCCCAACTACCCTCTAATATAGCCTAACTACCCACAATTAAGGACCATAGGGGCTCCATTAAAGGGCCTTGGGGGTCCTGGTAGGTATGTAAGCTTTCGAGCTCGGGCAGGGTATCCGCAGGCCAGGTCATGTATTCGATTTTTGATTTAGCCCTTCTTTCCCCCTTAAAAAAGGCAAATGCGCTTCGCAAGTTCCGAGTTGAGAGCTTGGCGACTTGGGTTTACCTTGGGGACCAAATGACCCTTATAAGTAGGGGCCCTATACCCTTAGACTATGAATTCTTATATGGTAATATGAACCTGAAACCTTTTGGGGTTCATTTCGTCCGTAAGGTGTTTGGGTTTAGGGATAACGGAGATTGCAGATGGAGACAGGCATACCCACAGGCCCAAGAGCCTCGGAAGGATCGCATAAATGAAAGCAGAACCTTCGAAACCCCAAACCCAAACAAGACACTGTTTAGGGGTTTAGGGGTTTAGGGGTTTGGGGTTCAGGGGTTTAGGGGATCAGGGTTTAGCCTACAAAACCCAACAAGTTCCTGTCATGGCTTTTTGGGTTTTGGGTTTGGGACTCTAAACCCTAAACCCTAAACCCGCGCCTTCTCCTCTTCAGTTTCTGCTGGCTCCGCCAGGGCCTCCTCTTGAGGCACCTTCCGGAGGCTGATGCTAAATGGGACTCAAGGACCCAATGGGTCCTAAGTACCGATGCAGTAGAAGATAGGGCTTCTATAGAAGGAATTATAATTGAACTAACTTGCTATTGAAATAGTTAGCTATGAATTGAGAATGTATCCCACATAAGAGTACCTAGGAATGTTTGGGGAGTAAAGTAGCGCTAAGGTAATGTATTGAGCGGTCCTCATACTGGAAGCTTCTGACCACTGCAGTTTCTGGCTTCGGGGTGCTTGTAGGGGTGTTTGGGGGCTCATGGCGCCTATTGTAGGGGCCTTAATAACTAGAATAGGCTTTTGGGCTCCTTTTTTTGCATTATGATGATAAGGATAATATTGGCAATTATTTGGGCTTCTATACTAACCACGATTTAGGGTAAAACGGGCTTAGAAGGAAGCAGTTGAAACTCTCTGAACTCTCCCCCTGACTGGATGTATTGCCCAAACCGTGTCCGAATGGCCATGCTGTGAACTATGCATATTCTATGCAACACTAAGGGTTCATGCGCCCAAATAGTATGTCCTTTCGCCCCAACTGCCTATGTAGGCACTGCTGTAAGGCCACGGCATAAACTACTTGGGCACATGCCCATTTAGCGGGTATGTGAATCACAGACTGCGGTCGGTTTACTGGAAGGCTTTGGATAGAGGTCGCGGCAGGGTTGTGTAGAGGCTTAGGGTTTAGGGTTTAGGGTTTATATATTGTGTGGCGACTCTTGAATCGAAGTAGTGGGTCCCTTCAGTGGGCAGGCCCTTGTACATGTGATTTGAAACCTTTATCGCACAGTTCTCCGAAGCTGCACGGAGAAAACTGCATGGTTAAAGATGGGTGCAAACTTTACGATTTCTTAGCCCACATGACTCATATCCCCATGACTCGTATCCCCAAGCCTCATGCCTTCTAAACCACGTGCAAATAAAGCCCAAAGGGTCAGCCCTACGCTCTATAAATCCTCTTCCCCAACTCACCTTCTACGCTACATACATCCCTAAACCCTAAACCCTAAACCCTAAACCCTAAACCCTAAACCCTAAACCCTAAACCCTAAACCCTAAACCCTAACCCGACGCCCTAAGCACCATCAGCCCGAAGCCCAAAATCCTCCAAGTAAAGACACTGCCGTTATCTACACGGACCTCCATCACTTGGTCAGGCTCGTCATCGAAGAAGTCCTAACCAACAAGGCAATAGGCAATACCCAAAGGGTCCAAGTACCATTATAGTAGGTACTTAGTAGCTATTTGGGCCCCAGAAGTATACTATACTAGTACTTGGACCCTTTGGGATAGCAGAAGAAGACGCAGCAATGGGTTTAGGGCCTTCGGGTTTCAGGCTTCGGGGTGATGTGGTTTGATAGTTAAGACAGCTACAGCAGTGATATTGCTGATGCATCAATCTCTGCAATATCAACACAAAATGTTAGCAACAGCAACAGGAGTCCTGAAAAAGCTGTGGCGAGTAGTGAGTGACCGTGGGTCAACACACTAGAATCGTGTTCCTTTCAGGGTCTGTAGGGGATTTAGGGTTTCGGGGGGTTTTAGGTGTAAGGCGCCGTAGAAGTTAGAAATGGATTCATATTATACTGCGAAATTATCGAAGGACTGCCAAGGAACATGCATCATAATCCCTGATGTTCACCTAAGGCCTAGTCATACCCCCTGAAGTATTCCCAAAACCCTACAATCGAAAAGCAAAACCGATGCTCTCAACCTGAATTAATCCTTGCGGTAGACCGCAGGGCGCGGTACATGCCGGCTGTTCAAAAACTACCCTAAGGGTCGAACTACTCAAACATATGCAACTTTTCGGGTGTTAGGTGCCGGAAACCATTCAGAGGATACTTGCTGAGCCCTAAACTGCTATTCGGTCGGGGGATTTAGTAACTAGCTTCTTTATAGACTTATAAGTAACATAACCCCAATTAGGATCCCCTGTAGGGTACTTACAACTCTACTTAATATCTACTCGGCCAAGTAGGGATACAATCCCTGTCGAACCCCAGCGTCCTCTGCGTCCCAGTTCAACAGGGCCGATGACCGAGTCTTGTCCTTCGTCTCCTGTTGCGTTCGTTGTGTTTTGTTCCCTTGGTGGGTAGGTTAGGCTTTGCAGGTTGTTGCGGGGCCTACGGGATTGATGAGGGTTTAGGTTGTCTTTTTTCGTGTGGCCCTGTTCCGATTCGCTTTGCAGCCTCCCGGGTTTAGGCCTGCGGGTTAGGTTGTAAGGGCTTGAGTTTCTAAGTTGTACGGCACACATTATCACCAACAAGCCGGATAGCTGGGATGTACATCTAGCCTATCTCGGTACAGATAGTCACTAACTAAGTCAGGGTTGGCATGTGTTTCCTGTCTGTTCGGCTGTCGGATGATGTAGGGGCCTTAATAATTAGAATGGGGTTTTGGGGTAAACTATACGATAATTATAGTAAGGAACCCCCAACAGAGTATTTAGGCTTCTATATTACGGGCCTGATGCCCAAGCCTCAGCACCATCGCATCCTGACAACCCTACATCTAGATCCGCAAGCTGTGTTTTGGGGGGTTTCGGGTTTTAGGGGTTAAGAGTTTAAGGTTTAGTCAGGAGTTTAGGCTTTAGGAGTTCGAAGTCTAGGGTTTAGGGAAGCCCTATTGATCATACAGGCTCTCCTAGGCTGGTTCTTCAGGGGATCTCCGAGGATTTTACACGTTGAAAGGGCATCCCAAGTCACCCCAACAGGAAAACCCGAGGGTTTGGGCACTGAATCCCTGGCGTTAGGCGCCACTTCTGACACCCTTGATCTCAGCTGGAAAGTAAAGGAAACCATCATAAGATAAACACCTTCCCTGACGAAAACCCCAAGCCTAAAGCCTAGCACACAAAATAATACCAAGGAGTATGGTACAGATCAGTAGAGGATAGTATAGTATATAGACAAGCAAAGTGTAGTATAATATAGTCCGTAGTCAAAACGGGTGTTGTCCGGGTCCGGTACGGATGGATGGATGTGGGGGAGGGGGTTCGAGGCTGTGAATCCGAGTCCGGGTACAGGCACCGGCAAGTTTCTTAAGGTTCCATATCCCAAAGGGTCCAAGCATAGTAAAGTATATACTTTGGGGCCCAAATACCTACTAGATAGTTACTATCTTGGTACTTGCACCTTTTGGGTATCGTCAGCATGCTACATGTAGCATGCCAAAGTCTTGAAGACTTCAGAGTCGAACATGGTACCTTCAGGCAGGTCTGCTCCGTGTGCGATCAGCTTCTGACGGTACTCCAAGCTCGAATCCATGCCCCAGTCTCAACTGCTCGAAAATTGCACAAGAGGAAAGTGTTGACGCCGGCAAAGAACTTCCTAGAATGGGTGCATCGCACATCTGGATGAGCTCTGCGTCGTCGACGTTAAGCTCGAGATGAGTCGGAGAACCCCCTGCGCGATATCGTCATAGGCCCTAGGCAACGGGTATGAATGCAGACGAAGCCAAGCCGTTGTCCGTGGAAGTGTCGCGCCACCGCCTTGCTTGAAGTCCGATTTCCACAGGGAGCAAGCGTAAGGTGTGACTCCCAATGACGCAAACCGCGTTCTGATTAATTGCCAGCAGGCTAGGCCCACGGCGGCACGAACATAAAGCGAAATTCGCATCGTGAGTCACGGTCCTACCCACGCCTGGCATCATGAGCGTCAGCGCGGGCTGATACCAATCCAAACGAGCAATCTGCTCGCTTGTGATCGACCACCAGTCCACCCAAAAATTTTCGCATCAGGAGCCCCCAAGCCCAGCATCACGAGCATCAGCCGGGTTTGTTGCCAACCCAAACGAGCCAGGGACACAGTGCCTGACATCAGGTTCCGAAGATATTATAGACATCCTTCTGATAGCAACTGAAATTACAAGTGCATGTGTCATCGGAATCCCAGCCTCAACCTGTAGCCCCAATCCCCACACATGGCGGGCGATGTGGGGCAATTACAGCAGGTTACTGGATCCGGTAAGCCTGATCTTGCTTTGCCAGCTCCGTCTGCCGCTTGCCCTTGTAACCTCTTCAGACTCGTCAGGCTGCCAGGGTTTAGGAGGCGTGCGCCTTACGGCGTAGGCTTAGTAAGTGTACTTAGTGGTTGGTAAACCCTAAACCCTAATCCCTAGACCTTACACCCTAAACCCTAGACCTGAAACCCTAAACCCTAAACCCAAAGTGTTTGGGATACGTGGATTCGGGTCTAAAGTTTTTCAGCTTCGGAATCATGGCTTGGCAGCAGAGGTTCAGGACTCATCCTTGTTCCAGGGCTCAAGGCCTGGGTTTAGGGTTACGGTTTAGGTTTTAGGGTTTAGGGCTTAGGTTTTAGGGTTTAGTGTTTGGGCTTTAGGGTTTACGGTTTAGGTTTTAGGGTTTAGGGTTCAGGTTTCGGGGTTTAGGTTTTGGGGTAGGTTGATTGCCGAGTTCTTGTCGCTACAGGTCCACCACGTACCCTACCCGCCCTACATCGGAAGGAAGGCGCTGGAGCGTGTCTGCGCCGTGGCCATAGAACTGTATACTGTATGGCCTATCGAGTAATTGATAATTCCCGAACTTTGAATCACTTCCAAAAGAATCCTGTATCCCGCTGATAAGGGTCTGAAAATAGAGATGCAGAAAGCTTCGATCCGTTTGAATAGGACTTTGGGTATGTTATGGTATGCTATAGAACGTATGGATACAAAACAGGGACGACAAACCATTCCATGAAAGCCCTGTTTCGGTTCTATCAGACTTATGAAGCCGCTATTATTCCGTTCCTCACTATAGGTTTCTGATGTACTCCCACAATTCTCATCATGATGAGGGCCTCTATATCTCTATATTACCTCATCATCAGAACCCGCAACTATAGCATCTGAAACCCCCAACCCCAGCCCCGACACTGTACACCCCAAACCCTGAACGGACCGCAAGTCCCATAATGTAGGGGCCTTAACAATTAGAATAGGGCTTTGGGCTCCTTTATAGTATTATTAAAACAAAGAAACTTAACAGTAATATAGGTAATCATAATAAAAGGCTTCTATATTAACCCCTAAACCCCAAGCCCGACGGGGCCTTTTCCCATTCCTTTCCTTTCCATTTTCCGCTTCATGATCGCAGCCTCTTCGACCACCGCCTCGTCAAGCCTGTCAGGAAGGTCCACTGGTTATGACTTTAGGGTTGAGGGTTTAGGGTTTAGGGCGTTAAAAAGCATAACAGGGTTGTGGGTGTATATGATACTGTCATTGACTATTTACGAGGAACCCTCTTGAAGAATATTGGCAATAATCTAACTTGCTTCTATAGTTATAGCACTCCCCCTGAACCCCAAGTCCTAAACGCTGGTTACGCATCGTGCCTCCCCACGCCAGCAGCCACGAGCATGTCACAAACCTTCGTCCGATCCATCATGATGAACCTGAGGAAGCATATCGTTAAACACGTCTGCATAAAGCATTTGAGAAGGAGTGACAGCACATCTTAACAAATTATCCATATGTGCCCGTATGTGGATCAGAACGACGGATATGCATTCACGGTCCAGGTTAACGTTGCCGCTTGCTTCAGGGCTCAGAAGCCCTAAACCCATCAACCCGTAAAATCAAAATCCTAAACTTGGGGTTATAGCGTCCAGGCCCTTTTTCATTAGTTAAGACATACTAGTTACTAGACCATACTTGTCATGAGTACTCCTATGGAATAGTATCACTGTTTCTTTAGGCTTCTGTAACTGTAATATTCCTTCATCGGCGCGGGTTGTAGGGCTGAGGGGTTGAGGGCTCATAGGGCTAATTCTTTTGGGGGTGTGCATGTAGGGATCGGGTTCTGAGAGCGACACAGATCAATGCTGAGCATGATCCTGACGTAAGGCCTTCAGAACTAGAAGAAGGCTTTGCGCCACACTGCAATGTATGTAGGGACCGTGAGGAGACGCTCTTACTGTTGACCCAGCCCAGTATGTAGCTCCTCAGAGCATCGGAACAGTAGTGATTGACATCGCCAAAGCCACGACAACCCTGCATAGCAATACGCCAACTGCGAGAACACATCATGCACATGACAACAGCCACTTCTTTCGAACACACAGCGTGCCATGGTACGTTAGGGTGTGGTGCGGAATGCAAGGTTTGATAGCCAGACGTCCAATCCCCGCAGCCTGGATAACAGTTGCCAGGAATGCACAGGGGCAGCTTGGGGCGGGTCTGCATGCGAAATCACACATCGGAAATCTCAGTGGCTCTTCCCTAAGGGTCCATGTACCCAAATAGTAGATACTTTGGCCTTAAAGTAGTCCCCATATAGGTACAAACCCTAAACCCTAAACCCACAGGGACCCTTAGCTCTTCTTTGGGGCCCCGGGTGCACCCCCGGATATCGAGCGCCAGGTGGCTGCATGAGAGCATTCACTTGTCTTTCGTAGGTGGTTCGGTTGGCATACCTCGGTTTGCATAATTTAGATCGACTTTCAAGGTTTCTGGGGGCTTCATGAAGACTCTAATGTACCTATAGTCTCCATTGTACTTCCTTTTTGGTGATACCTTATAAAACCCTTGATATATAATTGGTTAAACCAAAAAAATCGAAAAGGAACTACAATGGAGACTATAGGTAGAGCGACCTTTGGGCCTGGTAGCAATCCCAAAATCAAAACCAAAGCCATAGCCTCATTGCTAAAAACGCCTGCTTTAAAAATGATGGAACTGAGTATAGGGAGTCTGTACGTAGTAATCCTCAGCTGTGCCCCTGCCACCTCAGCCTACGATCTCGATAAGTTGTGGTTCAACGTTTATCGTTTAGGGTTTGGGGTTTCGGCTTCTTGCAAAATTTCAGGTCTAGGCACGAGAGTTTACGGACTTGGGTCTAGGGTTTTGAGGGGCCTGTGGGTTTGGAGTCTAGATCCGAAACCCTGTGGCCTAAACTCTGAAGCCTAATATAGGGGGTCTTAATAATCAGAATAGGGCTTTGGGCCCATATTCCTATAATTCTAATCAGGACCCCCCCAAAAAAAATAGTAGAGGCGATTCACAGGCCCCTTTCTTATAGAGCCTCACCAACCAAAAAGCCGAAGCACTACGATCCCCATAAACGCTCAAGCCCAACTATGCCCTACCTTAAGGACGAAATGAACCCCAAAAGGATTTCAGGTTCATATACCATATACCTTAACCTACCAAAACCCACTTTTTCTAGGCTCTTATAATAAACCACAAAATGGGATGTATAGGGACCCTACAAAAAGTAGGTTCTGTGGGTTAAGGTAGGGCTTCATAGTATAAGGGTATACAGTCCCTACTTATAAGGGTCAGTTGGTCCCTCCTCGCTTTCCAGATTTCCGCCCCCCCAAACCTGAAGCCAAGTACCTGAGCCCCAAAGTCTAACTGCCCTAACATAGGGGCCTTATAAAATTAGAATAATTAGGGTTTTGGGGTTCATTATACGATAAAATAGAATAAGGGACCCACTACACTGGTATTCTCATTTATTTTGGCCCCTATGCTAAGTGAAACCCCTGGAGCCCTCAAAGACTCTTACCCCAGCTCCTGACCGCGCTATAAAACTCTGATAGGCCCTTTGTTGACCTCCGACGACAACCCCATGCCCTGCACAACCGATGCGCAAATCGTTAGAACAAGATAAACCAAAACAACGCCCTGAATCTCCACGTCCCTAAACCCTACCTGGACCCCAAAGAACCTACCTTTTTAGGGTTCCCTATTATGGCTTCTTTATATGAGTCCTTAAAAAGGTAGGTTATTTGGGGTTAAGGTAAACCCTAAACCCTAAACCCTGGTCCTACAGTGCCAAACCCTGAACATACTAAACACCCAATCTCCCAACTTCCCACAACCTTACCAACTACCAAACCCCAAGCAATCCTAACCCCCCAAACCCTCAACCCTAAGTTGCTTCATCCTATAAACCCTCATCCTAAACCCCAGAGCCGTAAAGCCCAAAACCCCTAAACCCTAAACCCCTAAACCCTACAACCCAAACCCTAAACCCTAAAACCTGAACCCTCATCCCTACATACGACCGGCTGCTTGTCGATGCGGTATCTCCGAACCATCCAGGGATCCTCCGGCATCTTCCCATTCACGGACACGATCATCACCCGACCTTTGGGGATTCAGATCTTTACGGCTTAAAGCTTTGGGATTCAGATCTGGAGGGCTTTGGGTTCGGGGTTCAGCGGGGTTTAGGGATTCAGATCTTTAGGGTCTAGGGTTTAGGGTTTCAGATCTTTAAGGCTTAGGGTTGGGGGTTTAGGGTTTAGGGATTCAGATCTTGAGGGCTTAGGATGTACCTATAGTCTCCATTGTAGTTCCTTTTTGGTGATACCTTATAAAATCCTTGATATATACTTGGTTAAACGAAAAAAAGGAACTACAATGGAGACTATAGGGAAGCTTTAAGTTTTTGGCTTCGGGGCTGCGGCCGTTGGTCGGGGTGTTTTAAGGGTTGGAGGGTCCAGGTTCAGGGTTTAGGGTTTAGGGTTAGGGTTTAGGGTTTAGGGTTTAGGGTTTAGGGTTTAGGGTTTAGGGTTTAGGGTTTAGGGTTTAGGGTTTTGGGGGCTTTGTGGGGTTTGTTGAAAAGGTTCTGTCAGGAAGTAGGGTTCAGGGTTTAGGGTTTACCTATAGAGTCATACCCTACCCCTTTTTTGGGGGGTACCTACATTTCTATATAACAGATCCTAACCATAAAACTAGGTACCTTAAAAAAGGGGTAGGGTACGACCCTTTAGGTAAGGTTCATAGCTCAGGGTTCACCTAACCCTCTGCCTCCAACTATCTGCTTCTTCATGGGCTCTGCCCTACGACGAGACAATCCTAGACTCTAGGCTTCGAAACCCTAAGCCCTAAACCCTAAAAGGCCTAAACCCTAAAAACTAAAAACCCTAAACTCCAGAAACTAAAGACCCTAAACCCTAAACCCTATACATGTACAGTTTCGGTTTGGGGGTTTTTAAGGACCCAGGGCTTCCAGGCCTGGGCAGGGTCTGTTAGGGTTAAGGGTGCTTCGGAAACAGTGCTTTTAGGGCTTGTTTAGGGTTTAGGAGTTTAGGGGTTTAGGGTTTAGGTGTTTAGGGATTTAGGAATTAGGGTTTATGGTTTACGGTTTAAGGGTTTAGGGGTTAGGATGTGCGAAACTGCTCGAGAACCAGCATGAAAGCTAGAGTGTGGCCTCTACATTGAGGCATGAGAGGGTCGAGCGTTGAAGAATGAGATTCCGAGTCTCTAGAGACGGTTCACTCATGTGGGAGTTAGGATTACAGAGACCCTTGGGGATGTAGACCTTCTCAATAGGGCCTGTTTTAAGATTGCCACAAGTAATGTCAAGAAGGGTCCCCCTACCTGGGATCATGGGATCAGCCTGCAATACAATAGACTTTGGCCGGCAGCCCACCTATGAAGTCCACTTCCCGGACGCTTCCTTCGCAAACCTTGGCAGGTGCTCGCTTGGGGGGCGGGCTCAGCCTTCGTGTCTCGAGTATGGGTAATATAGGGGCCTTAACTACCCCCATTATTTTGGGGGCTCTTTAGTATAATTATAGTATAATGTACCCCTGAACCAAATTCTAATTATTTCTGCCCCTATGGTGCTGGAAATAGATGTTTCTTGCGGCTTCACGGCTTAGGGTTGCAGGCTTTACGGGACCATACCCCCAAAACCCTAACTTAGGGTTTCTACACGCTAAACCCTAAAACCCTAAACCCCCCAACCCTAACTTAGGGTTTATACTCTAAACCCTAAACCCCAAACCCCAAGTTAGGGTTTCTACATGCTAGACCCTAAACCCTAAACCCCCAAACCCTAACTTAGGGCTTCTACGTGCTACCTCCGAAAGTACCGCTGAAGGACGCCAAGTCCCGATCCTTCGCTCTGGGAGGGGGTTGGAGGCCCTCAGCTTTCTCCCCAGAAAATGGCCTACAAAGAAGCAAACCAGTGTTTATCGGTTTTAGGGTTTAGGGTTTAGGTTGTTTTTTTGTGGTTCTTGCACTTGCTATTAATGTAGGGGACTTAATAATTAGAATAATAGGGTTTGGGGGCGCATTATGGTATATGTATGACAAGGAACCGTCTCCAGCCCCTGTGTGTACAAGCTGTCAGAACCCAGCAAAGCCTAACCTTCAGACCTTGTAAGGGTAGCCATCCAGACCCCATAACAGCAAAGGGTAACCCTAGACACGACATTTCTTTCGGGGAAGCCTACCCTAAAAACATCCCTGAACCACCCGAAACCCTAAACCCTGAAGCCTCAAGACAAACATCGAGATCATGAAGCTGCACTCCGAACTCTAAAGGCCTTAACTCTAGCCTAAGCCGAAACCAGTGAACTTTAACCACTCAAAACCGTGAAGCCCTACATCTCTTAAACGCTTAACCATACTTATAGACCCATAATAAAAGACCCTATAAACCCTAAACCCTAAACCCATAAAAGGGCCCTATAAACCCTAAACCCATAAAAAGGACCCTATAAACCCATAAACCCTAAACCCATAAAAGAGCCCTATACATTTCAAAGACCAGGGGGCGCGATTCTTCAGTGGATCCCCTCGGGAAATGAGCACTTGCTCACCAGCCTTGAACTGGCTGCGCTCCTGCTCTTGGTTTGGGGTTTTAGGGGTTTAGGGTTCAGGGTTCAGGGCTTTAGGGGTTGAGGGTTTAGGGTTGTAGGGTTCAGGGTTCAGGGTTTGGGGTTTAGGGTTTTGGTGCGTTGTCTTTTCGGCTTGGAGCTTATGTAATATAGGGGCCTTAATAGTTAGAATAGGGCTTGGGGGCCCATTACACCATAAGTACAATAAGGAACCCCCAAAATAGTATAGGTATTTCTTGAGGCCTCTACATTCGGGGTTTCTGGGGTGCTTAGGGGTTTTGAAGTTTTCGGGTCTGAGGGCTGTGGGGTTGCAAGGCTTGAAGGTTTCAGGGCTTCGGGGTTCAGGGTTGGAGTTTTTTGCGCTTGAACATCGATTTGGGGTTTGGCAGATTTCGAGCTCTGGCATAAGCTTAAGCTTAAGGCCCTTAGGTCTTTAGAAAGGCTTATGGATGGAATGTCGGTTTGGGCTTAAGCGACTTGGGTTTAGGAGTTGGAGAGGGTTAACGATAAATTTTGCATTTTGATTCAAGGTCTAGGACTTGGACCTTTGGGTTCTGGCGAGTCGATGCCAGGGATTTTCGGGTTTGGGGCTTTAGGGCTTCAGTTTTCACCGGCTTTTCAGGCTTGTGGCATGGGTTTTAGGGTTGAGGGGTTTAGGGTTGGGCCGGGGGTGGGATTTGTACTGCCAGGATCCGGGGTTCAGATTTGGATTCTGGATGTAGATAAGGCTTGAGTTTTCCCGTAAACCCTAGCCCCTAACCCCAAACCCTAAACCCTGAGCCTGTAAATCCCTAAACAACACTCAAACCAAAACCCTGCGCCGCCCCATCGACCGCAGGCTCATGTGAATGTGTCACTCTTCTTGCCAGGACCATCAAGGACGGTGTAAAGTTAGGGTCTAGGGTTTAGGGGGGGCCATCAGGGGCCCTAACCGACAGCACACGTTCGAAAGCCCCCTAAGAACAACATGGCGCACCTGCACCTAAGTCCTAAACCCCACAACTGAGGGCTGAAGGATTCCAAGGGGTTTGGCTTGATCGGCTTATAAAGGGGTACGTAATCTAGGAGCCTTAAAGCAGTCGAATAGGGCTTCTCTAATTTTCTCAAGGTCTAGGAGTCTGGAAATAAGACTAAGATCAGGAACCCAACCCTAAACCCTAAACCCTAAATAAACCCTAAACCCTAAACCCTAGTAGTAATTGTCCAGGGTCGCCATCCCGAAGCCGAACACTTCTACCTGCAAACCTTGAGCCCAGAGCCGAACATCTTAAGCCGGAGCCTGCAATGCCAACACCATTTGTAGGGTTGAGCATGGAGGATTGGGCGATTAGGCTTTAGAGGGTACCCTAAACCCTAAACCCCGAAATCCTAAACCCTACCTTAACCTACCAAAACCTACTTGTTTTGTAGGTTCTTATCATAAACCCTAATTTGGAATTTATAGGGATCCTACAAAAAAGTAGGTTTTGGTAGGTTGAGGTATGTTATAATAGCTTTCATTCGGGAACCTTAAGGCAGAATCATAAACTACCTGTCCCGACAACTGAACCATAAACCTTGAACCCTAAAGCCTACGTAAGAATCAGGTTGTAGCTTGATTACATACCGTTCATAGGTTTGCTTGGGAGTTGCTAGTGTTTAGCGAAGCATGCCCTAGCTGTGCTATTACAAGGGCTTTAGGATTTATACGTGTTGTTTAAGTTTATGCGAGTGTACCCAATTTCGCAAGGAACTTGTGACAAGGATCCGTCCTACCTAGAGTCTCCATTGTCCCTAAACCCTAAACCCTACAATCCTTACTATATATCTGGTTAAACCCAAAAAAAAGGAACTACAATGGAGACTATAGGTACTACTTGGGTGGTTGTCAAAATTATGGTCCCTTTTTGGGGTCCTTATTATAATACGGCACCTGATATTT